ACACTTGTTCAGGTTTCAGTCCTTCAGTTTCTATGTACTCCTTGAATTCCTGCACATATTTTTCAGCTGCTTTATGGTCCGAACTGGCAGCCTCACCATGCCCTATCACACTATGTATGCCACTACGCCTCTTAAATCTCTCAAACCAACCTTTGCTGGCCTTAAATTCACTCACATCATCACTAGTTGCAGGCATTTTTTTAATTAAATCCTCATGCAACTTCCTAGCCTTTTCACTTATGATCACTTGAGAGATGCTATCTCCTGCTATCTGTTTCTCATTTATCCACACCAATAACAGTCTCTCAACATCTTCCATCACTTGCGATCTCTGTTTCGAAAACACAGTTAAACCTTTGGCAAGAACAGCTTCCTTGATTGCCTGTTTGTTGCTTACAATAGTAGCGATGGTTGATTGGGGTTTACTATACAACCTGGCCAGCTCGGAGACACGCACTCCACTTTCATACTTATCAATGATCTCTTTCTTCATCTCTATAGTAATTCTCACCCTTATTGCTGTAGGGTTGGCATTAGAAGCTTTCTTGGGGCCCATGGTCACTTATTTTGCAGATAAAATCACCAGAAACACTGTAAAAATACGAAATGTTCCGATTGTATGCTTGGATGTTACCACGGAGGCTGGCTGGTAAACAATGCCACCGGCGGAACATGCGAGGCTGGCTAAGGGCGCACATTAGACGCGTCTCGGACGAACAGCGTTGAGCGGGTTTTTTAGCGGTATGCGAGGCAAAATCTTGGCGATAAAATGTAGCGGTATGCGGATTTAACGTTATGTGATGCCAACGGTATGCGGGGGTCCACTGTAATAATAATAATACATTATAATACGTTTAGAGGGATATGTTGTGTATCTTTATACGTATATATACTTCTAAACTGTTGTATTCTGAGCACCTCTGCAAAAACAGTGATTATGTGTGAGTGAGGTGAAAGTGTTGAATGATGATGAAAGTATTTTCTTTTTGGGGATTTTCTTTCGTTTTGGGTCACCCTGCCTCGGTGGGAGACGGCTAACTTGTTAAAAAAAATATAATACATAATACTACTATAATAATAATTATAATAATATGTATGTACTACGTACATTTTAGCATATGCTGATGTGCCTAGCATCTCTTCTCCATCTCCAAGGTAAATGCTGTGTTACTACATAATTTCTTTACATTATTATTGTTTTCCTCATAAAACTATGTATGTAGTGATCTAATGGCATTTGCCTTACAAACACTCCATTTTCTGTTATAATAAAAGCATGGGAAGGTGGTCCTATACACCCCAACAACGAAAGCTGTTGTGCCGCCTCCACTAACATTTCTCACATGCAAAATATTATTCATTCTAGTGTATATAACATGTTTTATTGTTATTAATAGTGTTTATTATGCCATATTAGATGAATTGTGATAGATAAATAAGCCGCAGAATTGATATTAGGGAAATTATTGAAGTATTTTGTCGTGCCTGGAATTCCACGGGAACTGATTAATTCCATTTCAATTAATTTAAATGAGGAAAATTGACTGCAAACGAGCAAATCCAGATGCGAGCAAGGTCATGGGACGGATTAAACTCATAAGTAAAGGTTCCATTGTATTTACAAATAAGAAATATTGCATAAAACATAGTAAAACATAACAATGTAAAGAAATAAACTGGTTTTATAAAGTGTATGTACGCTGGCAGAGATGGAGGGTGGAAGATAGGCTACTTGCTACACACTTAATGCTTAATACGAGGCAGTACCAGCATAGTAAAAGTACGTACTACACGTATGCTCGTACTGCCTCGCAAACAACCCGCACCTCAACACCTCACTTGTGTTTATCTGTGATTTCATGGTTTAATTCCATGGACATCCTCTTTTTCTTCTCAGCACTGTCCTTTGCACTAACTTTCTTAGGACCCAAGGTTAGAAAAGAGAAATTTGGCAAACTAACTGCTGCTGCTGCTGTTGCTGCTCCTCCTGCTGTGACTCCTGCACTTGTCATTGTGTATCATTTGAAAATACTGACCTGTGACTTTAATGGCAGATTTTCTGATCTAAAGGAAATAGATTTTCCATCTTGGCTAACTCATGCATTGGTAGTGGATCATCTGAAGTGGACCACGGCAGTAGCCATGATGTGGCTCTGTGATGAGCTAGCAGCAGCCATGATGTGGCTCTGTGACGAGCCAGCAGCAGCCACACTGTGGCTCTGTGACGAGCCAGCAGCAGCCACTCTGTGGCTCTGTGATGAGCCAGTGATGAAATATACAAATTCAATTTATTTATCAGTGTGTTTGCTGGAATGAGGTTTAGTGTTGTAAATGACCGTGGGGGCGTTGGCCCCCAAAACCTTCTCCAGGTAAACATAAAAGAAACTGACTTTACATCACGAAACAGAGACTTCAGACAAAGTATATTATTGCCTGAAATCAAAGCTATTTTTAGTAAACATCAAGTTCAAGGATCTCACTAACTTCAGGTACTCAAACTTGAATCTAAACTTGAGCTTGGAGTGTTACTAAAAGAAATTCAATTTTGTTGTATTGTAGTTTCATGCTATATTATACTTTCTCAACACCTAAATACATTTTATATCAGAGGAAGACATCAAACTGAGGTGTGGAGGAAGGTCATGACACAAAGATCAGGGATCACTGTGCTGAACCTTCAACGTAAGTAGCCACAGCTACATTAGTGCCAATAATGAATCACATAACCCCTTAAGGGGTCAGTGCCATAGTTCTATGGTTTTGAACTGCCATAGTACTATGCCACGAGTTCTGCTCACTCAGATGAGCCGTCAGTGCTAAATATGAGCCTAGATAAGAGATAATAGGTCTATGTGGTCAGTGTGCACCATATAACAAAATCCTGCAGAACACAGTGCATGAGAAACAACTGCCACCGACTTTTTGGTTAAAAACAGTGACTTTGTAGTGCATTTTTGTATGGTTTTACGGTTGTATTCAAAGTTCTTGGTCTCGTTTGATAGAATGGAAGATATATTACCGAAACAGAGATGATTTTGATTGGCTTGACTGAAAATAGCTTGAAATTGAGCTATCTGTAGCAGAAATTCAATTTTTGCTAATGTTCCAGAGTAAACAAATCACGTAACTCGTCCAATATGCATCCACTTGTCGGTCTAATATGCATTCACAAATGTGCTGACGTTATTTATATAATTATTGAAATAATGCAAACAGTAAATCTTCTATTTTTTGTGTGAATTAAAATTAAAAATGGAATTCACGTGTAAAGTTTGGGAACATAACTGATGAAGAGGGAATGTTATTTTAGTGCCAGAAATGTCTTCATTATTTATTCTGGACCCCATCTGAAATTAGTATATTTTGAAATTTGTGTGAAATTGGCCAAATTACCAATTTCTGATCACTTTATTAGGTAGCTGATCCAGTTGATTGGGCAGTTTCTTGTGCTCAATCAATAAAATGGAAGACATACCAGTGAAATAGCTAAGAATTTGGTTGACTGGAACAATGTAATTGGCCTAAAATAGGGGGTTGAAGCGGGCAAAATTACTCATGCATTAGCCCTTTCAGGGTTGGTCCTGTATATGTACAGCTTGAAAGCCAGGGTCAGTCCTGTACTTGTATGCCAAAATTCTAGCGCCTTCAAATCTGGTGGAAGAAAGTTGGTAGGCCTATATATGAAAGAATGGGTCTGCATGGTCAGTGTGCACAGTACAAAAAAAATCATGCAGCACGCAGTGCATGAGAAAAAAAAAACTGACTGTTTTAGGTTTAAAACAATGGCTTTGCAGCGTATTTACGTATGATATTTATGGTAGTATTCTCATTTTCTTGATCTCATTTGACAGAATGGAAGATATATTACAGAAATAGATAGGATTATGACTGAAATTGAGCTCAAAGTAGCAGAAATGTTCGATTTTTGCTGATATTCGAGAGTAAACAAATCATGCCGCACGTCCAATACACGTCAACTGGTGAGACTAATATTCTTTCACAAGTGCGCTGATAATATTTATACTATTTTTACAATAATGCAGTAGTCTGTATAACAGTAAATCTACTTTTTGTGAGAATAAAAATTCAAAATGGAAAGCAAGAGTAATAAAAGAGGGGCCAGATGTGACTAATGAACATAGAGAATGTTATTTTAGTGCCAGGAATGTCTGTCTTATTTATTCTGGACCCTATTTTGAAATTGGCATCTTTTGAAATTTGTGTGAAATTGGCCAAATCGCCAATTTCTGACCAGTTTATTGGGTAGCTGAAATCAGTAAATGGGCCGTTTCTTGTACTCAATCGATAGAACAAATGGAGTTCTAGCAAAATAGCTATGATTTTTAGTCAACTGGAACAATGAACTGGCAGAAAATAGGGCTCAAATTGGGCGAAATCGCCGATGCATAAATATCACCGATATCACTAACTTTGCAAGAGCATAATTTCTTAAGTTTTTCACCAAATTTCGTACTTTTGGTGTCATTACCACTGGGAAAAAGAGTACCATTTCATAAGAATTTTTTTTTTTTTTTTTTGAAAAATCTTTCAACCCTGAGAGTGAGTTATGTATCGGGGGTCTCAACCCTCAAAGGGTCAAGACCCCCGACACAGCAAAATTCGTGATAGCACAATTTCATCAGTTTTCCATCAAATTTTACATTGTTTATTTTATTACCTTCAGAAAAACATAATATCATTTCATAAGAAAAATTAATTTTTTTTTTTTTTTTAATTCTTGGACTATGTGGACAAGTTTCAGATCGGGGTTCTGGACCCATTTCAAATTATGTAATTTCTGTTCATGATTTAAGAGTTAGGGGGAACTAATTAATTTTGCACTAAATCATAATTTGCACTGTTGGAACTCGCATTAATTGAGACCTAGCACTTAGGTATTAAATTTTGGGTATAAATCACCACTGTACCACCAAGGTTTTGAAACAAAGAAAAACACATTAACCATCATTCAGTCAATGACTGCCACAAAATAAACTTACCACTGCCGACCCTACAGCAACACCGCCAGCAGTTGCCGCCATCTGTGCAAAGAGTCCAGGTTGTCTTGGCGCTGCCGCTGCTGGCGGTGGGACAGATGCCGGTGGTGGTGGTGGTGGTGCCGCCCGAGGAGGTGGCGGAGGTGGCCGGGATGGCACTGCACGCCTGCAACACATCAACATTATCAGAGTTCATGATATTAGAGGAGTAGCTGGCAGCTCGGTGATAGCAAGTCCAGGTAACAAGGGAAGTAACCAGGTTCATCCACTGGGCACCTTGTCCCTCATGAAAGTTATATTAAATACAACATACAACAACAGTGGCTAAAAACTTAACTAAATCAGCTTAAGGGTCATTCCTTGTCAAGTGGACCAGTTTTGAAAATCGTCCCCACCTGACCATTTCAAATTTCAATGCAATTTAACATGAAGGTTGTCATACATGTCATAGTATAAATAACAAAAAGGCACAATACCGTGACTGAAACGATACACAAATAACCCGCACATAAAAGAGAGAAGCTTACGACGACGTTTCAGTCCGACTTGGACTTTGTCAATGGTCCAAGTCGGACCAAAACGTTGTCGTAAGCTTCTCTCTTTTATGTGCGGGTTATTTGTGTATGTCATAGTATGTTTGGTAAAGTTATAGTTGATGCTATACAATAATAGTAATGCTATGACCTTCAGAGTGGAGGAAAGTGAAAATCTGACCGACCTGTGGCACACAACGTTCATGTTATTGTGGTGGCACATCTTCAAGTTGTCTAAGTACACTTACCAATACAACTTCTGGAGACAATTTAAAAACTCACAGTACTAAAACTTACACTTTTTTCACAGTATGAAGCCAGAGTAGGCCTATAACTCTGAAGGTAAACATTATTATAGTCAGCTACCCAAGTGGACAGACAGTACTGTAGCCAGCTACCCAAGTGGACATTACTGTAGCCAGCTACCCAAGTGGACATTACTGTAGCCAGCTACCCAAGTGGACATTACTGTAGCCAGCTACCCAAGTGGACATTACTGTAGCCAGCTACCCAAGTGGACATTACTGTAGCCAGCTACCCAAGTGGACATTACTGTAGCCAGCTACCCAAGTGGACAGTAGTGAAGCCAGCTACCCAAGTGGACAGTAGTGAAGCCAGCTACCCAAGTGGACAGTAGTGTAGCCAGCTACCCAAGTGGACATTACTGTAGCCAGCTACCCAAGTGGACATTACTGTAGCCAGCTACCCAAGTGGACATTACTGTAGCCAGCTACCCAAGTGGACATTACTGTAGCCAGCTACCCAAGTGGACATTACTGTAGCCAGCTACCCAAGTGGACATTACTGTAGCCAGCTACCCAAGTGGACAGTAGTGTAGCCAGCTACCCAAGTGGACAGTAGTGTAGCCAGCTACCCAAGTGGACAGTAGTGTAGCCAGCTACCCAAGTGGACATTACTGTAGCCAGCTACCCAAGTGGACATTACTGTAGCCAGCTACCCAAGTGGACATTACTGTAGCCAGCTACCCAAGTGGACATTACTGTAGCCAGCTACCCAAGTGGACATTACTGTAGCCAGCTACCCAAGTGGACATTACTGTAGCCAGCTACCCAAGTGGACATTACTGTAGCCAGCTACCCAAGTGGACATTACTGTAGCCAGCTACCCAAGTGGACATTACTGTAGCCAGCTACCCAAGTGGACATTACTGTAGCCAGCTACCCAAGTGGACATTACTGTAGCCAGCTACCCAAGTGGACATTACTGTAGCCAGCTACCCAGTGGACATTACTGTAGCCAGCTACCCAAGTGGACATTACTGTAGCCAGCTACCCAAGTGGACATTACTGTAGCCAGCTACCCAAGTGGACATTACTGTAGCCAGCTACCCAAGTGGACATTACTGTAGCCAGCTACCCAAGTGGACATTACTGTAGCCAGCTACCCAAGTGGACATTACTGTAGCCAGCTACCCAAGTGGACATTACTGTAGCCAGCTACCCAAGTGGACATTACTGTAGCCAGCTACCCAAGTGGACATTACTGTAGCCAGCTACCCAAGTGGACATTACTGTAGCCAGCTACCCAAGTGGACATTACTGTAGCCAGCTACCCAAGTGGACATTACTGTAGCCAGCTACCCAAGTGGACATTACTGTAGCCAGCTACCCAAGTGGACATTACTGTAGCCAGCTACCCAAGTGGACATTACTGTAGCCAGCTACCCAAGTGGACATTACTGTAGCCAGCTACCCAAGTGGACATTACTGTAGCCAGCTACCCAAGTGGACATTACTGTAGCCAGCTACCCAAGTGGACATTACTGTAGCCAGCTACCCAAGTGGACATTACTGTAGCCAGCTACCCAAGTGGACATTACTGTAGCCAGCTACCCAAGTGGACATTACTGTAGCCAGCTACCCAAGTGGACATTACTGTAGCCAGCTACCCAAGTGGACATTACTGTAGCCAGCTACCCAAGTGGACATTACTGTAGCCAGCTACCCAAGTGGACATTACTGTAGCCAGCTACCCAAGTGGACATTACTGTAGCCAGCTACCCAAGTGGACATTACTGTAGCCAGCTACCCAAGTGGACATTACTGTAGCCAGCTACCCAAGTGGACATTACTGTAGCCAGCTACCCAAGTGGACATTACTGTAGCCAGCTACCCAAGTGGACATTACTGTAGCCAGCTACCCAAGTGGACATTACTGTAGCCAGCTACCCAAGTGGACATTACTGTAGCCAGCTACCCAAGTGGACATTACTGTAGCCAGCTACCCAAGTGGACATTACTGTAGCCAGCTACCCAAGTGGACATTACTGTAGCCAGCTACCCAAGTGGACATTACTGTAGCCAGCTACCCAAGTGGACATTACTGTAGCCAGCTACCCAAGTGGACATTACTGTAGCCAGCTACCCAAGTGGACATTACTGTAGCCAGCTACCCAAGTGGACATTACTGTAGCCAGCTACCCAAGTGGACATTACTGTAGCCAGCTACCCAAGTGGACATTACTGTAGCCAGCTACCCAAGTGACATTACTGTAGCCAGCTACCCAAGTGGACATTACTGTAGCCAGCTACCCAAGTGGACATTACTGTAGCCAGCTACCCAAGTGGACATTACTGTAGCCAGCTACCCAAGTGGACATTACTGTAACCAGCTACCCAAGTGGACATTACTGTAGGGAGCTACTCAAGTGGACATTGTTACAATCCTACAATATTAGACACCAAACATTTTTAGTTACTATGTTAATCCCTTCAGGGTCCAAGGCCCAAATCTGAAGTGGTGCCCCAGTGTCCAAAAATTTTCAAAAAAAAAATTTGTTATTTTTTCTTATGAAATGGTAGAGAATCTTTTTGTGAAGGTAATAAAACAAAAAGTACGAAATTTGATGGAAAATTGACGAAATTATGCTCTCGCGAATTCTGATGTGTCAGCGATATTTACGAATCGGCGATTTTGCAGACTTTGACTCCCATTTTAGGCCAATTACATTATTCCAGTCAACCAAATTCTTAGCTATTTCACTAGTATTACTTCTATTCTATCGATTGAGCACAAGAAATCGCCAAGTCAACTGTTTCAACTACAAATTAAAGTGATCGGAAATTGTTAATTTGGCCAATTTAACACAAAGTTCAAAATATTCCAATTTCAAAATAGGGTCCAGAATAAACAATGTAGGTATTCCTGGAACTAAACTAACATTTCCTCTGCTCATTAGTTACGTTTTGAGGCTTTACAAATAAATTCCATTTTGATTTTTTATTCACATAATGAATTTTTATTCACACCAAAAAATAGAAGATTTACTGTTATGCAATACTGTAATAATTGTATAAATATCATCACCACATTTGTGAATGTATATTAGATCCACCAGCTGGCGTGTATTAGATGTGTGAGGTCGTTTGTTTACTCTTGAACATCGGCAAAAATTTAACATATCTGCTACTTTGAGCTCAGTTTCAAGCCATTTCCAGTGCGAAAACCAATCAAAATCATCTCTTTCTGTAATACGTCTTCCATTCTATCAAATGAGACCAAGAAATCGCAAATAGAAATATAAAAAACATACGAAAAAACACTGCAAAGTCGCTGTTTTAATCGAAAAATCATGATTTTAGTTTTTCTCTCTCATTATACGCAGTGTGCTGCAGGATCTGTTTTATGTGGTGCACACATACCACATAGATGTATTCTCTCATATCTAGGCCCAAATGTACCACTCACAGTTTATCAGAGTGAGCTGAGCTCAAGACGTAGATCTACGGTTTGGACCCTGAACATAAAGCCGTAGATCTACGGTTTGGACCCTGAACATAAAGCCGTAGATCTACGGGACGGACCCTCAAAGGGTTAATGGTACCTAAAAATATCCTCACAAACTTCACGGTGAATTTTAGCAGCACAACAAATTTTCTTTAAAAAAAAATAAAAAAAAAATTAGAAAGAGCAGATTCTAAACTACAAGATGTCTATTTTCTGGATAGGCCTTTTACCCTTGGTGGAAGAAAATAGGCCTTAAAATAAGGTGAATTTTGGCTTGGACAACATTATAATGAAACCCAGAGTTTTGTTATAGAGCAACAACAGCTGGAACTTCGTGTTTAAGTCTCCTTATACAATTTTCAGTGGCAATTTCAGAACTTGTTTTCTGAAATGCTGATAACTGATATTTATTTTGCAAATGAAGCTTAAAGTTGTCAAAAAAAAAAGTGATGTGATAAGTGTGACGGGAAGTTTAGACATTACTGATTTTCAACAAAACATTAATATAACAGAAAATTTTGTGAAAGTTGGTTATTTTATGCAGCTTGATCATACATTGCTGCTTATGTTTCATTATGATATAGTATATGAAGAAAATATTTCAATGGACTTTTTTTTTTTTTACAGTGTAACATTCACTTGTATATTTGAGCTGTAATATTTATGCCCCAATTTGATGTTTGGTGTTTATTACAACTGAACAAGTGAAAAAAATTATTTTCTGTAAGCAGAAAAAAATATGAAATGTGCAGAGGTTATCAGATGTGAAAGTGAGGGAAACTCCACCTGGCAGCTGGATCTACGTGTCACTCCAATACCTGACAATTCAACAAGGTCTCATTCTATGAAAATTTATGCAAAGAAAATAGGCTTCAAGTTTTTCAAG